TTGGACTTGAATGCACATGCTTTTGTCTATGCTTGAGATTGTTCAATGAAACATAAATTTTATGGATATCTTAAAACAACAAACAAATATATATACTATATTGAGATCAACAAGGCATGATAATAAAAATCTTATCTTGGTGAAGCCATTCGCAGAGATGAGGCTAAGAGCATTGAGCAAGTGTTCATTCTCCCTCTCTCACCGTGTTTTTATAACTCTAGAGAGGTGAGGGCTGCTATGAAGGTGATTTACGGCGATGGCCAGACTTGCTGATGATGTATCATGGCGGAGAGGTGAACAGCAGAGCTAGCCTCAACCATTGACGACGGTGGTCAGCGGCTTGGACGTTGGCTGAAGCCCCCAATCGTCTTACAAGATATTGTTTCGCTTGAGAATGGATATCTAAGACACAAGCAAAGGGAGCATGTGAGTAATCTATATCATGTTTGTTCTACAAAGTAGATAGCCAACGAAAGGAAAAAGAAAAAGAAAGAGGGAATGCTCGTATCTCTTTATTTCCTCCGGTTTATTGCTTCTGGTCTTCTTCTTTGGAGGCATTGGTGCAGACAGTGGCTTAATCCCCAGCAGAGTCGCCAATTTATGTAGGGGCTTTTTTCTTCCGGCAGCTACTACAGGCCTGACTGCCGTAAAGGGCAAAATGGAAGAAATTGCCCCTTGAGCCAGAGTTCGAAAATTAAGCCCCAAAATACCTCGAAAAGGCAGTAGAGCCTTAGGAAGTATTTTGGTTATCTTCACCAACGAGAATAATGGTAACTTGCAGATAGTTTTGGCATGCTTACAGATAGTCTTTTCAGCTCAGCATGAGTGGCATGTGGCATGGGAGCAAAATCAACATGGGTTTAGCACTAAGAGAGAAATTAGGCTTGGTTTATGAGAAAAGAAAGTGTTTAAGTAAGGAATGAGGTGTTTTGTGAGGAATTCGACTAGGGAAAGAGGAAAAAGAAAGGCAGAGTTCTTCTGGCAGCTGCCAGAAAAACAAATTGGAGAAGAAGATGAACAGTGCACGAGTCTGAGTTTTGCAAGATAGAGAGAAAAGCTTGCTCTCTGCAGGTTGTGAGTTGTTTTTGTTGGGTAG